AAAAAAAAAAAAAAAAAATATGATGAAGTATTTTAAAAGAAGAATGTTTGGAAAAAAAAATTTCCTTATATAACATTAACTGCAGGTTCAGCCTCTAAGCTTAAAGTCATTAACTCAGCTTCTAATTCATTACCATTTAACATAGAAATAGTAACGTTATCACCAAAAATAGATCCAGCAGCTGCAAACATTCTTCTTTCTATTACTTCACCAATGTGATCTAGTGGTGCAGGTTTACTTCCACCACCTCCATTATTAAATATATTATTAATACTATTGTTACATCCGTTGCCACTTAAATTATTGTTTATTAATGAATTATATGTATTGATTAAATCGGGTTGATCAGATAATAATGAAAAATTTGATGTTAAAATTTTTGGAGGTCTTGATAATTGATTGATAAAAGAATATGATTCTGAAGTATAACGATTAATATTACGAATGTTTTTTGTTAAAAATCTAAATTTTTCAAAATTAATTAACGGTTCTTGCATTGTTGATAATGGGAGTGAATTATATGAATTAAGGGAATTGTGTAAGGAAGGTGGAAATGATGGTGTTGTGGGTGTACTAGGTATAGAAGATTCTCTTGAATCAGGATATGTTGAAATCGTTGGTGTTGAAGGTGCTGAGGATATATAATGTTTATTACGTATATAAGTTGGATTTCCTTCAATTATAAACGTTAAATCTTTAAGAAATATTGCTATCATTATAGGATAAAAAAGTTAGTAATTAATATATACGAAAGATTGTTAAACAAGAAAATTAAATAAAGGATTACCAAAAAATGGTATAACAGGAGGTTTAGCATTTGCCAATGATTTTCTATACTTTCTCATATTTCTTGAAGGATCAATTAATTCTTCAATACTTTGAGAAGTCATTATATCTTGATGTGAAAGTGATTCCCATGTTTTAACTAAACGTTGTACTGGACGTGAGTTCAAAGCCAACGCAATGCATGAAGCAATATGAAAATTATTATATTCGCGACAGTACTAATTAAAAAGAGAATTGTTCCTTATAAGTCACGTTATGATCTTATTGAAAACCATTGTTAGTATGAAAATCTTTGTTAATACGTACTCTCGCTGTTTCAATGAATTTGTGAAGTAAAGTTCGACGCGCCTTAACAGTTTTTAAACTGCAAATCTCATGCGCGATCCAATGACTTATCTGTAATTGGAAATATTTCAAAACTTAGTATTAAACATGGTAATGATAAAAATTTCTGGTAATTTATTTAATTACCATGTTGGATCTTCTTATAAAAGAATCTAAATGACTTTCGATAAGATTGATCGATTGATTCTCTCTGCCGAGAGCATTATTAGAACTCCCACTGTTTTCCAACGCTTTTCTCTTTTTCCACCATATTGTAATATCGAAAAATGTCATGGATTTTAATACAGCAAAATCTATTAATGTTAAATATTTTGCTATATTTTTTGACTCGAATTCTAATAATGGTGAAGAATCTGATATTATTGGTCGTGGTATATTATCAGTGTTTGTGAAAGTTGTTGTGGTCGATTGACTTTTCCTTTGATTCTTAATTTTATCAATCGAAATTAGAGACTATAACAATAATTTTAGATTTATTGTGATATTTAAAATTCAAAAGGAATTTATTGTGAGATTTAAAATTCAAAGGAAATTTATTGTGAGATTCAAAATTCAAAAGAAATCTAAAAAAAAAACTAACCTGAATCTCTAATATTGTTTTTATTTTACTAACTTCTGATTGAAATTCTTCTTCCGTAACTTCATCTGTCAAAAATGTACTCATACTATCACGTAAAGTCATATCAATTTGAAAATCTTGTGGTTGAATGGTTACCCATCGATAAAGTACCGATATTATACTAAAAACAAATATCGTTCGATGAATTAAATGATATCACGTGACAAATTATCTGGTATAATAAAGCAGAAAATTGTATATATCAAAATCACTTACTTTTTAAGAAACGTTCGCTGTTGGATGTCTAATTTATCATCATCATTTCGCGAATTAAAAATTCGGTATCTGTTAATCATTTCTTGTAATAAAAATTCTGATGATATAAAGAGAATATGGTTTAACAAGAAACAATCGATAAATTCGGTATCTATATAATAAATAAATTATTAATATTTCATAATCACATTAAATAATACACCGAATTATATACGATACCTTTTTCTTCTTCGTCGATTAATCTAGACAACAATTTTTCCAACGTTCCAGCAAGAATTTGTGGACTAAAAAAAAAGGTGACAATTATGCGTCAATCAATATTCAATAATTTTTTTTTTTAAAAAAATAATAATTTAAATTTCTAAATACCTTCCGTCAATCATTTCAGTAATAATTCCATCCTTGTAAAGTTCAAGTCCTTTCAACGAATTCGAAAAGGATTTTTCATCAATGGTTTGAACAACTTCCGAAGTTCCTTCCTGAAGGTTTAAAAATTTTAATTTCTTGCAGAATTAAAAAAAAATAAAAAGTTTTTTTTTTTGATGATATATATATTGTTACCTCATTAGAACGCAAAAATACGTGAGGAATTTTAAGTAAATTACTCGGATATGATTTCTTTTTAGTGTTTAAGCTATTTGAGCTATATATATAATAATTCGTAAAAAATCATTATTATTTTAAAAAATAATAATAAATTCATGTATTAAAATTTTACCTCTTCTTTGTAACGAGTTTGCGAAAAAGTTGTTCACGAAGATTATTATGATTATCATTTCCTTCCGCAGTAACATTTGCTGCGGATAAATGTTCAGTAGGATTTTCTCCATCATCTTCAACATGTGGAGTCAAATTATGTAAAATAGGATTACCCTTTTCATAACCGAAATCCGACCACATTTTTTTTAAAGTTCTCAATTCAGTTTCACTATTAGTTTTTTGTAATTTATGTTTTTTACCAAATGAAGGAGCTTTAAATGAACGACTTGAACTTTTTGATGGAAGAGTCGGTGAATGAGGATAAGATAGATCAGGATATGATGTAACATCTTCTGTAACAGGCCAATAATTATTATAAGATTTTGATGTTGAATCTAGAGTTGAAGATTTTCCTTTTGAAGATAATGAATGAACTTGCTTAATCAAATAAGATTTTATACTAGAATTTGAACTTCGACGAGATCGAGAAGGTGAAAAAACATCAACATCTTTGTTGTTTTTAAAACCAGAATCTATTAAGGAAGTGTAAGATTTTGCCGCGATCGTATTTGAATTACTAGAGATCAAATTTCGTGAGGAGTGAGTACCCGATACATCTGATAGTCGTCTTCGACCTAACATGAACATTATTAAAATATATTAACCAGATAATCATTATTTATAAAATTATAATTATATTAACCTTTACCTAATAAAATACCAGGTTTTAAAGAAGGGCCTTCTAATTGTTCTTTAAATCGAGAATTGCTTCTCATAGGAGAAATTGGGGGAACATTCTGAGGAGGAATGTTATCTTTAAGATGACCATCATGTATGTCATAATCTCCCTTACGGTTTTCACGTGATAAACTTGCAAGATGAGGTTTACGCGGTTTTGAAGGTTCAGGTAAAGTATTCTTTTTTGATCTCGAATGGTTAGCTAGTATTGAAGTAGAAGATTTATTGGAATCCAGAGAATTTATACTTCTCGTGTCATTTTTCTGAAAGTCACGTGATAAGAAAGTTAATCACTAGGTAAATTTTTTTTAAAAAAAAAGTGAATATTAATCGTTATAACTACATACAGTTCTAGTTCGTGGTGGACCAAGTTCGAAACTCAATAGTGAAGTCGTGCTACTATGACTACTACCGTGATAACTATAACGATTATGATTATGATAACTATTAATGAGACTTTCTGAAGCATTATTTTCCGATGAGGCAGATGATAATGAGAGATTTAATGATCTTCTTTTAAAGGACGTGAGACTTCTTATAACATTTTTTCCAACTAAATTATATAAAGGAGAGAGAAATATTAATAAAATGAAAACAAAGAATTAATTTGAAATGTATTACAATACTTACATGCATTCTTTTTCCTTTTAGGTAAAAAGTAAAAAAAAAAAGGAGGAATTAAAAAAATCAATTGATTATTAAATTAATCAAATTAAATCAATTAAATGAAAAATGGAATTTACTTTTTATTGGATTGATCTTCGTTCGTATTTGTTGATTGCAAATCCAATGCTGTAACAATAATATTATATATGTAAAAATTTTTAAATATATTTTATCATTATAAAGTTTATTTATACTTACGTTCTTCATAAACAACAGGAAGCTGTTTATGAATAAAATTTACAAACAAATTTATTGCATCCACAAGTCGATTCGAATGGGTTATCAATTTATCATAAACATTCTGAAAATGTAAATGAATGAATGAATAACGAACGAATCACGTGATTAAAAGTAAATTAAATTGCATACCTGAGTATGAGAAGCAATCTCTTCATGCCTAACTAAAGATCTTATTTGATGTATTTGAGTTAAAACAATGTCAGCTTCTTCAGTAACATGACCAGTTAAAGAATTATAATAATCTAATAATTCTCTATTTATGAGACAAGTTATTAAAGTTTCATTATGCATTGAAAGGATGGTACGAACAATATAAGTGAGTAAAGAGGAAGCACTTAAAACTTTACATAAAGAAGATTTTTTTGTAATAGAAGTTGATGGATCAGTACTTTTTGAAGAAAAATCGGAATGATAAGTCATGGAAGAAATATGAGAAGATCTTGAAGAATTATTTTGATGATTTTTATAAAAATAACGATTTACTGGAGATTCACCCGAAGGAGAATCATACATGTAATCATCATCTTTTAAAGGTGATTTAGGAGAATTTGTAAGTAATAATGTAGGAGTCAATAAAAGAATCGACATCATTGCAGCTTCAAGAGTAGCGAAAGGACTCTAAAAAAAAATAAAAATAAAAATAAAAAGGGTCAAAAAAAAGAAAAAATCACGTGATCAAGCGGACTTGAGAAAAAAGTTGGATAACTACCTGCCATTCACCATTTGGTAATTGTTGATCAAAGGTCAAAGATTTTTCGGAGCGTTGAAGTATACGTAATTTATCCAATATAGATTTAACATCTTCAGGTAATTGAAGATATAAAAGTTCACTTTCCTCAGCCAATTGTTGAGTAATATCATCATTTTCAAAGACGAAATTTGAGGAAGGAGTAGTATGAGTAGTAATACTTGAAGAACTAGGAGTTCTTAATAATGGAACAGGATGAATAATAGGGGAAGAAGGAATTTTTTGTGATTTGGCAATAAGAGAAGAAGATTTTTGTTGTCGATTTTTTGATGTGCTTGATGTAAAATCGGATATAGTTGATGTAGATGCAGATGATGATGATGATGTTCTTTTATTGCGGGAATTTTTTGAAGTATCATTAAATAAATTTCCGATAATTTTAACAACTTCCCATGTCATGATTTTAAATTTTTTTTTTTTTTAATAAGAGCGTGAAAAACTTTTTTTCTCACTCCGTAAAA